GATTGAAGATGCTTTTTGTTTGATTGAATAATAAAAACACAAATTTACCTCCATATTCATGACCCAAGTCATCTCTGGTAACTTACAGATGCTGAGAGCAAAGACAGCTGTCAAAAGAAGCATGTACACAACAAAGTGCATTTATGTCCTTAGTGACAACAGTCCCCACCCCTTGTAGCAAATAGGCTCTACCCACTCTTGAGGAGTAGAACAATATCTAACTTTGCCATGTGTTTGATGCATAATGAAAAAAGGTAATAAAAGCTTTAAGAATATTAGCTGAATTGTGACAGCTACTGAAATAGTAATCCTGTGTTGGCTTTCTCCATCTTTATAGTCCTTATTTGAGAGCTTGAACCATAAGTGCACCATCCAGTGTAGATGTGGAGTGATCCCTCCTTCACCCTGCCATCAAATAAATAGATCCTGCCTTTAATACTGGCAATGTCTCTGTGACTGGTTTAGACTAAAGTAATTGGAAATGAGCTCTCTGATGCATGTGTTGTTCTTTGGGACTGCCTCAGAGGACCAATGTTTGCATGACTTGAAAAGTACAAACTTCTGCTCCTTTGCAAGAATAAAAATTATTTCCAGTATGAGTTTGGTATGAGTCCATTTCTAAAATTGAAACACAAAATTGATGATAAAGAAGTATTTTTCTGATAGAAGTGTGGCTGGTTTTAGNTAGGTAGCAGGTTCAACTCCAGGATGGTCTCCATGTTGCACGTGTGTTCACATGTGTGGTAGGTCAAATGTAGAGACTTAAAAGCATAATAACATAATAGGTCTCTTTCAAATCTCTGCATTTAACCTACCTAACTGCTTTTTTAGTTTGGTTGAAATTATTTTTTTTTGGTTGAAAATATTAATTTTGATTGAATTTATTTTTTGTTTGGTTGAAAAAAATTTTTTTATTGAAATTATTATTTTTTGATTGAAGATGCTGTTTGTTTGATTGAATCATAAAAACACAAATTTACCTCCATAGTTCTCCTGAAACAGCCAACAGCAGAAACATGAATGATCAATCTGCACGTGGATCCTGCTCCTTCCTGCCTGTTGACCAATGGAAGTGGTTTTACAGTTTTACAGATATTGAGCTAAAACTTGTCGACACACAGACTCTGAGTTCTACATATTGTGTGAAATTTATGTCTAAACCTTTGACATTAACTCTTGTCTGTCTGTCTTTTTTAGGTTCAGAACAATCCAAACAAATCCTCTTTACTCCCAGCTCCCAGCCAACCTTCATCAAYGTTCCCCAGAACAACTACGTTGAGCCATTTGTTCTGAACCCAGGGACCTGGACTGTGGTCATAGAGGCTGAAGGAATCCTTCTGGTGGGATTTAAACTACTTACCTACTGTTTCTACACAAACACATCAAACTCCTGTAACTGCAGGAAGCTGTCTCTGTTTAACTACGATACAAAACAACAGTTTTATAATTCAGTATGGACCGGGGGTATAAGGGTTCACACTCAGAGTTATGTTAGAACAGAGTATTACAGTTTTCTTTACAATATGGAACCAAAAAAGAGAAAAGACCCAAGTTTTTAACTATTTTAAGTTATTCAGTTCAGTGTCTGTCCATGTGGTTGGCTGATTCACTTCTTGTGTTAACAACTAACTAAACATGTAGAAGTAATAACATACTCAGTGAGTGTATTTTACACATTAGTACTGCCATTTAAATCAATGATTTTTTTGTTTTCTTTCAGGACTACCTGGTGCTGCTGCCCAGTGCGTACTACGAAGCTCCCATCCTGCAGATGAGAGTCACTGATCCTTGCACCTACAGCTCTGTTTCACACAGCACCCAGAAGTAATCATGTTTCTCTGTTTTACTGGGATTAAAATTATTTGATTCTAAAAGCCTTTCCTGTTGCACCTGACTGAGCAGTGTGCAGTTCCAGTTACCAAAACCAGAAAACCAAGAGCTGGAAAAAGACAAATGTTTGAGGGCTGGGAAAGGTTTGTTTGTTCGTTGTCTTTAAAAAGTGACATGTTTTTTTCACATCATGGCCCCACAAACAGCATTATCTCCTGCCTGCAGGACCCCCTGCTAACCCCCAATCAATGCTACAAAATACGTAAAGAAACATCAATTTTTATAGTTTTCTTTTTCACTTTTATTCACTATTCAGTTCATTTGTTTAGCAGATTTTTATTAACTAACATATTTTAAACTCTGTTATATTCTCTCTGACAAAACAACTTTTCAACAAACTGTTGATGAGAAGAACAAAAAATAAATTTAACCTCTCTTAATC